ACGTCCACTAAACCTGACACTTATGAGAAGATTGATATTTAAAGTTTCATAACTGGTATGATTATTTTTCAAATTTCAATTCATGTTTTTTTTACAGATTTATATTTAAAAAATGTGTTCTTTGCTGGCAACAATAATGGAACAAAATTCCCTCCATACCTGTATATCTAATGACCTTTACTCTAATAACCCTGTACCAGAGAAAACAACCCTACTTAACAAAACATCAAATACATCTTCTACCAAAAATTTCAACTTTTAGGTGACGGTTAACCAAGAAAAATAATTCCTTCTTCCTCTAATCTGTTCTTACTACTGCAGTGATCACTCATCACTATTGTTTTTTCGTCAAAGAAACTAGAATTTTCTTTTTAGTTTGAATGTAATTTTCATTTTGATTTGCAATGTGTACGCATCGAGGTTTGGAAAAACGAGCCAATTATTGGGGAGAGAAGTCTGCAGCAACAACAAATGGGACATTATTATATCACAAAGGTCCCACAAGCACATCTCTTTATAAATCTTGTTTTCATGGCAGCTAACTTGTACATTTTGTATATTGTATAATATAAAAATATATATATCGTAGTATAGTATACATTTTTTCAGTAATTTACTTTTTAACGAAACAATTACAAGTATTTCATGACATAAAAGTTGGGGGGAGCAAGGCTCTACAGCAGGGGGGGGGTCCTCTTTCACCTGTAGAACCACCGCCCCTGTATTAATTTAATATTTAATCTACCTGTATGTAAGCATATCTTCTTATATGTATTTATGTGTCACAAACACACCATTGTTATTTTCTTAGAGGTCACACCTGATTTGTGGGTCCAGATTCCCTGCAAACTAGTTCTATTCACATACATCTGATAAAGCTTTGGATGGTTTATTCAGTGTCGGTTTGATATCATTTCTGATATTTGCTGAAATATGGTGATTTACAACATATTTACACCAATAATTAAGTCTCACCAAGAGGATATCTATCCTGTTCAGGGATCTACTTCTCTGATTAGGATTTATTTAACAGCTTTAGTTCTAATTATGGTTCCTTTAACTGGAAGTCTGCCTGGCAGGTTGTAAATTATACTAATAGACCAATGCATTTACTGTAACCCTGCCAAACTTTGACATTCTAAATCAGTGAAAAAGTTCCCCTTCTAGACATTCTTTCAAAACTGGGCTTAAAGGGATAGTTCGGGATTTTTGACATGAATCTGTATGGCATCCCCATCACCAGTGTTATGCAATCACACTGACTTACCCCTGGCAGCATCCTGTGAGCAGAGTTCTCGTCCAGCTTTGGTCAAGCCGAAAGTAGTCCGGCAGGTTTGCTAGACCCAGCGAAATAAAACGTTTCTCTTCCCAAAACATTATGTGTTCAAAAGAGCGATATTTTTGCATCCCAAAAACATTGTAGTGGAAAAAGTCACACGTCGTTATCACTTGGTCCTATTTTCTCTCTGTTCGTATCAGTGCGCGCCGTCATTCTGACAGCGAGCTCAACTTTTCAAGTGCACCATGATTTGTCGGCCACCCTGGATATCGCAGCTCCAGCTGTGGCTCCTGCGGCTCCGGCTTCAGCTTCCATCACTTCTCTGTCCACCCTCTCTCTTTCTGCCCGATCTAACTCCATTTGTCGAAGTTCATCGTCAGTGTACTCGGGTTCATAAAGATATCCCTTTGGCTCTAAGTGGAAGTCGATGTTTTCCTCGTCGCTCTCGTAGTCAGACATCTTCCCCAGTAGTAAACAATCGCGAATCAAACAGGTAGGCCCTAGCTGTCAGGTCATGGTGTCGCGCGCACTGATACGAACAGAGAGAAAATAGGACCAAGTGATAACGACGTGTGACTTTTTCCACTACAATGTTTTTGGGATGCAAAAATATCGCTCTTTTGAACACATAATGTTTTGGGAAGAGAAACGTTTTATTTCGCTGGGTCTAGCAAACCTGCCGGACTACTTTCGGCTTGACCAAAACTGGACGAGAACTCTGCTCACAGGATGCTGCCAGGGGTAAGTCAGTGTGATTGCATGACACTGGTGATGGGGATGCCATACAGATTCATGTCAAAAATCCCGAACTATCCCTTTAAAGAATCAAGTTAACAGATAGATGAAGGAGGAGGAAAGGAAGTGTTTTTAAGAACTGGTCCACTCTTCGTAGCCCCAGCCCCTGTACAGGAGAGGGGAAGATCTCGCCTATTCTGACTGGCACATAGACAGGTATGGGTTGTTGCAGGCTAACAAAAGAAGCCAAACAACCCCCATTCCAAAGGGGTGGACTCTGTCGTCTGTTTCTATTTGCATGTTTTCAAACTAAAAACAAGGTTTTGATGAGCTACTGTATAAAACCTCGAACACAACGCTATTCCTGACATTTTGAATTGAAAAAACTTCCTGGATGAGAAGTGAAACGTCTTCATACTTGGAAAAAAAATCCAGTGGATTGTTT